ACACACAGTAACCAAGGCATGAAAGGGGAAAACCAAAAAGAAAACACAGAGTGCTTCTTATGCAAAGCGACTCAAACAAAAGCCTCTTTGACCTCCCAACATCTGGTGTCCATTCAGCCTGTGTGGCGTGCATCAAGTTACCCAACATTATGGTGAGACAGCCAGTCACGCCTGTCGCAAAGAACAGCCTCTTCTGCCCATGCTCAGTCATGACAAGGCTTTGACATCACTGTCAGACTAAGAGTGACTAAAGCTGACAATCTCCCTTTACCTCCGGAGAAAGAGAAATAGGAAAAACATGCCGCTGTTGGGGAGTAAGGGAGGATGAGGGGAGACAGTGAAAGGGGAGGAAAGGCAGAAAAAGCCTGGATGAATCACCCAGCACGCACCGCAGCGGCTGAGGTAGCCGTGTCTTGGAGTACATGAGTCATGTTCATCATGCAGCAGCACTGGGCAGGGATTGCACAACTTTCTCTCCATTAGGAATGTTGCAAATATTTACCCTTTGATGGGAAAAAACAATAGCTCTAATCCTTCTAAAGAGCTCCCAGTGATAGTGCCACACATCCCTCACACTGAAGTCACTGGCACCTGCTGAGAGGATGGATGGAACACCAGTCAGCCTGCTGCAGCTCTCAGGCACAACCCACCCCAAAACAAAACAAAACAAAAAAACATTTGACACCTAAACTGCAATCGGATATTTATGCTGCATTCTAATACAATAGTAAAAACCATGCAGCACCAAAAGTGTGTGCAGCTTTTCATTGAAGAAAAAGATAAACCCCAAGAAAATCAACAGGATGGAAACATTTAAGGCCCACATTTATAACCCTCTCTCTTAAAAATCCAAACGGGTTCAAAGCCATTTTTTTAATTAACAGTCCATCAGCAGAGTGTGTTTCTTTATAACAGGTCAAGACGAGTGGGGGTAATATCCCACCATAAACGAGATTTATGGCTCAGGCGGTGATAGTTTTAGAGCCATGATGGCAGAAATACTCCGGTCCACCTTAAAAAAAAAAAAAAGCTAAAACCCTACAGTGGACAGCGCCGTGGTGCTGAAACAGCTCCGAGCGACATCTGTACACAAGAGGAGCGGGAGGGGGGGGTACTTTAACGTTGAAATCACACACACACACACACACACACACAAACACACACCAGCGTGCGCCATTGCCACAAAGGACACCTTAAATGATCTTTCCAGTGTCATATTGTGTAATCTCGATGACGTTCGTGGGGAAAGGTTAAGCTATTTGGCGTGCTTTTTACGTGAAAATGGCGGGCGCCGCTGCTAAAACCCAACCCATTACAGCTATAGCCACAGCCACAACAAAGTGGTAGGAAAGCGCCTGAAATTCATGTTGCACTACAGCACTGATGCCAAGCTGGTAGAATAATATAGGAAAGGCTCTAAAAGGGGGGGGAGTCAAGAAGCGTCAGCCAGGCAAAGGGGTCCTTGTAATAATCACTCCGGTAGCCTACTATCCGCTAGTGGTCGACAGCAAAAAGTTCTAGCTTGGAAGTCAAGAGTCAACACGGCCACCAGTATCTCAGAGATATGTACACACGCTGTGTCTAATGACAATCCACCAACACACAAGGTTTATTCACCAAACAGCACCGACACCGCCTGTTAACACCCTCTCTTTCTCTCCACTTACTTTAGCATAGACTGCTCCTTCGCTTCCTCCTTCTTCTGTCGGTCCATGACGCCGAGGATGATCTTCCTCTCCTCCTCGGTGAGGTGGCTGAGGTCCGGCATCTCCGGCATGGCGCCGGCCGCTGAGGGAGTAGCAGCAGCAGGGCCAGGGCCGCCCCGGGGCCCGTGTGGAGCAGACATCTTTTACACACAGTGGCTAAAAAACGAGAAAGTCACCGTCAACCAGCAGCATCGTGGCCGCTATTATTTATTTATTTACCGTTCTTTTCTTAGTGTTAAAGCCGCTAAATGTTCGGTTTGGTTTGGTGTGGTTTGCAGAAGGCACCGCGGCTTACCGACAGCATGACATCTTGGTTAGCGGTATCATGAACATTATTATCATTATTATTATTATTACTGTTGTTATCATCATTATTATTATTACAGCGTGCTGTGCGAATAGGCGTCAAAATAGGAACTACAGGCTTCATCCCCAGCTAGTGCAATGCTCGCGGTGAACTTATCAAATACGCTGCAGCTGACCGAGCTGGGAATATTCAAGCCAATTTTACACGCCAGCATTTGAGAGCGAGTTAAAGATTAGAAAGAAGCAGATGCCCTTAAAAGAAACAACAGTGCACAGGCTGTAGGCTACAACCTTCAGGTATTCCAACCACAAGCTTCCATCCATCCAGGGATTAAAAAAGTAGAAAAATAAACAGGTTTAGGAAGAAGAAAAAAAGAAAAAGAATGACAGCTCTTGCCTTTTATTTTGCAGTCATGTTAAATCCTGTCTAACCCATCGTTGCCATCCCTTAGAGGGGTTTCACTCGCATGTTGGAATAAAAGATGCCCGGTCCGTCCTTATTTGTCTGCCTCTGGGGTCCTTAACCCTCCTCCGTCACTCTGCTTAGCTCGCCTTCCTCCAGGTTAGTAATTCTTGGAGATTTCTTTAATGCACAAAAATGGATG